TCCTCCTCTGGGCTCCCCCAGCACCTGATGCTCATCCTGGGTGCAGCCATACACACTTCATGGTTTCATCATCTGTTATTTACTTACCTGACTCCCCACAGATTGGAAGACCCTTGAGGGCTGGTATTTTATATGATGTTGCTTTCCCAGCGCCTGGTACATGGATGAATGAATGATGGGTGTTCAAATTTAAATGCGTTTATATAGTTTATGGGTTTTCAGTAAGGTCTGGAACACCCTAATGGTAACTGTTAAGTAAATTCCCCAGGAGTTTAGGGTCTCTGCTCAGGGAAATGAGGCCTTGGTCCCTTTCCTAAGTGAGTGTTAGGTTCTTAGAGGGGCAGACCTAAGAGGAACAGGAGCCAAGCCCTCTCTGACTGACAGCCCCAAGCTCTCTGCAAGTCTGGCCCCTCACCTCGTGGAATACTTGCAGAGTCTCCTTATGGCTCTCCCAGGTTAGGTCATAATCCACATAATCTCCCATGATTTCCCCAGATCAAGTCATAATCCACATGTCGTTGGCCTCATGATTTAGGGCTGCAAGTTGAGATTATGCTTGTTTTCCTTTATGACTCAAGAGGATCTAGGGTCTGTCATTATGCCTGATATTTTGGCTCTCTATTTTGAATCAGAACACATATTGAGCCCCTGAAGGACTTTTACTATCCTTTTGCCAACCTATAAAAATAACAAAAGCAAATAACTCAAGTAGTTCAGAAGGGAAAAATATTGGGAAGGCTATGACATGAAAAGTAAAATGTCTACACCTTCAACTCTATACCTAGTCCCACTTTTAAACATTTCAGTTTTTAATTCTCCTGGCCATTGTCTCTTTCACTTTATTTATTTAAAAAACTTTTTTAAAGCTTTATTTTATTTTTTTCCTTTGGATTACTATACCCAGTGATTATTTTATTTTTAATTGAATAATTAATTGTATATATTTATGGGGGTCTAACTTTAAATTTGCTTACACTGCTATTTCTAGATTTACTGAGTTTGAGCAGAAGTTATTGAACTGTCCCTATGGAAAATTAGGAATTTAGCTGTCTGACAGTAATCCCTCTGTCCATCCCATGATTCTTCCAGTTTTTGTTATTTATATTTTAAATTGGTTTTTCACTTGATTACCTGTGTTAGAAAATAAATTTATTCTTGCACTGCTCGATCCATCAACTTTTATAGACTGTCTTGATGCTCCAAGTGTTTAAGTTGAGGAAATTGTTGCCCTAAGCTTCCCTCCACATTTTCTCTCCAAATTCAGCTTGCAATAAAATTTTATTGCATTTATACCGTTTGTATTCACTCTATAGCTAATGATTAATTCTGTTTTATCTATAGAATCCTTGCTAAAATAAAAAACTAATAGATAATCTTTATAATATAATAATTTTGTAGCTATTATTCTCCAAAACCAAGTACTATACTATATATTTGGACTCACAGTAAAGGTGTAAACTGATGTCACTGAACTTCTGCTGGATGAAGGAGAATGTTTCAAGTGTCAAGGTGAAATGGGCTCTCTTTTTTTCCTATTCTTATATTCGATCAGCTTCTCAAGTCATTTGGTTGGTTTCATGTGTAAACCACCTTTGAAGAACATTTTGTTTTGATGGAATTTCTAATTACCTTTCTTTTTACATGTGGAGGAAATCGTTTCTTAATCATATTTTTTGTTACATAGAATTTTCTTTGTACTTTAAGGCTTTTTCTAAGGGTCCTCTGACTTCTAATTCTGATTGGTCCAATTGCTTTTTAAGCCTATTGACCTGCAGTCAACTTGGAGTTTTTTATTGCATTCTTGGACTGTGTCTTGGTTTCTGTGCATTCTACATTTTTGAATTCTCTTTTTGTTGTTTGTGAGCATATACTTAAGTAACTTTTTTGTAAAGAGTCATTTAATGTCTGAAAATTTTATCTTCATACTTGATTGTTAGCAAGCCTTGGGAAATAATGGCACTTAGCCAATTTAATTCTTTGACCAATTTTCTAGTGATATAATCAATTTTCTGTATAGAACAGTTTCAGAAATAAGTATTTTCTGTATAAGTTTCACAATAAAGATTTGAGTCATTAGAAATTTTTACCAATTATAGTATGTGTAATATTGATTTTATGTTATCAATTTTGTTAATTTTGTGGATGGAGCCTCTATTTCCATGATCTAATATTCCTGAGTTTACTTTTATTAAAAGATGTTTTATTTCTTTAGCCACAAGTTATTATATTATAAAGGTTAGCTATTAGTTTTTAATTTTAACAATTTAATTTTTTTAATTTGTAAGAAAATTTTACTGCATGTGGTTTTATTTTATCAGATTTATTTGAGTTAATAATTTTTATTAAGTCCTCTTTTTTCTGGGTCATTTTTTACAGTTTTCAACATTACTTTGAAGATGTGGTTCTTCAGTTTTTAAAAATCATCTATAACAAATTTTAATGTGTGCAGTTTCAGGGGTTGTCAGTTTTAGTTTGTGTTATTTATTTTTATCAAGTTTCTGTTCTTCAAGGACCCAGACAAAATATTCCCCAGTGTTGAAATGGCAGCATACGAGTGTCTATTTTTTTTCTTTAGTTGTCAAATTATAATGGCAGCACCCCGCACTGAGTGTGTTGCTATAACTTAGCATAGAGTCCTGTTTTTACCATCCAAGGTCCTTCTTAGCTTATCCATTTTATAGGATTAACTAGCACTCATATGTTGTTGATCGTAGCCAAATACAGTAGTCTCATTAGATGCTCACTTTATTTATATAAATTCAATTATAGACATTTATGAGAAGGAGGAGAAAATTTCAACAGTATGGGCAATCCCTTCTCCTGGCCCATCAATAATGGGCTTGACCCTGGATAGACCTGGGGTAGAACGCAATGAATCTGCAGTCCTACATTTGCTTTCCACTGACATACGACTCTCACAGTATTAGCATTGCATTGCCCTAAACATTGCATGTTTAAAGACACATCCCTTGCCTTTACCATGGCCTTCAAACACAATTCAATTACTTTTGGGGGACACAACTGAAGAAAGACTGCATAGTTCTGGCCCTGGAAGAAAAGCTGGCTGTACTGAACCTGCTGAATAATGAGTTGAGATGCATCTTTAGTATGGTGCCTTTCTGAGGGATTTTCAAGAGAAATTTTGAAGACTTTTTTTCTTACATGCCATTTTCAGAGCCTAACATGTATAAACTGTGATTTCCTGTATTCAAGTGCCTTCTGGTTCTCTCCACTTGCAGATCCCCCAAGCAACTTAAACTTTATGTTTTGCAATTTGCATGTGTTCCTCTGCAGTGTCCTCCTTCCCTCATGCTCAGTGAGTGGCCCTGCTGTCCTCCAGCTGCTTGAGCCAGGAACCTTGGTAAAGGTATCCCTCAAATCTTTCCCTTTCCATTAATAATGTGTCAAGACTTTGTTAAGTGACTCTCAGATCCAGCCTTTCCATTAGGTCATCCTCCACGATTTGCTGCAACAGTTTCCAGCTCATTTTTCTGATTTTTGTCTCCCTTCCTCCTTCACCGCCTATCTCAAGCCCTATCAATTCTCAACAATTAGAAGGATTTAAAAAAGAAAACCTGATAGTATGATTCCTCTGTAACAATAATAATAGCAATGAAAACCCAAATGTTTAGCAACTCTCCATTACCCTCAGGGAAGTTCATAGTCTTTACTGAGTACTGCAGGTATGCACATTGCACATGCTCTCTCTCTCTTCTAACTGGAGCCTTATCTGGCCACTCCACACATGAAATCCCCATTCCTGGCAAACAGAACCAGTTGCTGGACACCATGTTCTTTCTCACCTGAGAGTCCCTATACACACTGTTTGCTCTCCCTGCAACATCTTTAATGTTCCCTTCTTTTTCTTGTCTTAAGTCTTATGTCTCTTCAGGTCTCCACTCAGGCATTATAGCTTTGGAAAACCATCCCTGATTCCCCAAAACTGATTAGACGCCTATTCCATGCACAGAAATCCTCTACTTCTCCTTGAAATAGCATTTGCCCTATCGTAATTTCCTGTCTTTATCTGTCCTCTCCACTACTCCAGAACAGCATAAATGTAGAACTAGGGACTGTGAATTTTTCATTAGTGCCTAGCACCATGTATAGAACAGACACTGGGCTCATGGTTGTGGAATGAACAAACCACTGATATGTTGGATTCCTCACTGTAATTCCCCGGAGTGGTGTGACAGTCAATCCTAGGTTAGCATTCAGCAAATAAGAAAGAAAGAGGATGCTTGACGTGGAGAATAAAGGTATTCAACCTGACACTACTGCTTTGTCTCAGTCTAGTTTTAACCTTCATACTGTAGAGAGTCCTTGCAGAAACTATTATCCCATGGAATAGTAACTCTATTAACTTTGGCGAGTCCTTTCTGCTTTCTTGGAGTCGGGATCCTAGAAGTAAGAGAGCTGGCATGGGATCATACGTGTTAATATCAACGTTCGTGCCTGTGTTTGTGGCTCTTTTGTTTCCATTGCATTACATTTTAAGACCTCTGATGACCAAATGTGAGAAAAGTCCCAGGAACTTTTAGTTTTGCGTTTGCAACCCACAGCCATGGCCCACTCGATTCCCTATTCCTTCCTCAGTGTCTGCACTGTGGTGGCTACTTGTTTACCATTTGCAGGTCCCACTTCAGCAGTTCAGTCAGTTCAGCCTTATCGTCTTGCGTGATGCTTGAATCTCAGTTTTTGAGATTGGGCTTCTTCTGCTTGCTTGTTCCTGAACTCAATTTCCCTCTTTCCCCAACGTCCCCTAGCAATGAGGTGCTGCTTTGGTCCTATCTAGTCCAGAAGTTCCTGCTATACTAACAGTGGTGGTCACCTCTTCTGCCCCACAGCCAATCAGCTCCCAAGCCCCCTCACCTCAGCCTTAACTCTTAGATCTTCATGACACTATATTTTGGGAGTGGAATCCCAGGGTAGGCTGCTTTATTCCTACCCTCCAAGAGCTCTCTGAGGATCTGTGGCTTTTCTCTGTCTTGAGGGTGAAGATGGATGACAGATGCTACCCAGTGATCTTCCCAGACGCACGGAATTTCCGCCCCTTCACTGCTGATTCTCTGGCTGCAATTGAGAAGCGGATCTCCATCCAAAAGGAGAAAAAGAAGTCTAAAGAGCAGACAGTGGAAGAACCCCAGCCTCGGCCTCAGCTTGACCTGAAGGCCTCCAGGAAGTTGCCCAAGCTCTATGGAGACATTCCCTGTGAGCTGATAGCAAAGCCCCTGGAAGACTTGGACCCATTCTACAGAAATCATAAGGTACTCTCATGAGGGAGGTGGGAGTGTTCTAACCATGCAGTTATAATTGGTGTTAAAGGTTCTCCAAACACCAATCTTGGGACTTATAGAGGGCAGACTGTACCTCTTCTTTGTTCTTACCCCTTTCCTTGCCTTCATAGTCCTGAGAACCCCTTTTCAGTTCCCATTTTCTCTCCACAATGCATGAATCGGGGGAAAAGATGAGGAAGAGGAGCTGAAGGAAGGTTAGAAGAAGAGAGAAATCACAAAATGGAATTTGGAAAAAGGACAGGACTAGCAGTCCCAGAAGTTAGGTCTAGGTCAAGTGATTGGCTTTATGGCTCTAGGCAAGTCACTTCACAAATCCTCACTTTCCTGATCTGTAAAATGGTAATCATGCCTGAGGTTGTTATAGCATTGACAGGCTAAGAAAGCACTTTATAACTACAAAGCATTGTGCTGATATAAAGAATTAATATCACTGTCCAGAAATGCCCACCTCAGCACAAGATTTTACACTGAAAAACTCTTGGACAATAAGCTTTTTAGGCTATTAAATTAGATTACTGAAGATCAGACTTGATGTACAGTAGGAGCTCAATAAATGATGCCTAAGAAAATAGTAACCAAGTGGGCTCATGCAGATTGTATGTAAATCCAGGGCAAATATGTGAAAGCCTTACTGTTTTATCTACCTGGATATAGTTATTACAGGGAAATTCTAGTAAAAGCTTAAAGGAGCTTCTGAGTGAAGAAATGTGAACTTTGGGCTCTTCTGATGGCTACTCTAAACCTGGGACTGTGAACACAGTTGTCTGCAGACTGTCCCCTTTCAGGAAAGGTTCAGAGGACCTTGTCATCATCATCTCATTGTGTGATTCAGTAGAGGATAGAAAACCCACCTTGCCAGACTAAGGTCAGAGGGGAAGGAGGCTGCGAACTTCGGGAAGCCATAGAAAATATAGGATGCTGAAAGCATCTTTCATGGGCACCCACAAGAAACTGCCCTCTCAAAGAAAGATTATTTGGTTTGCATGTCCTTAAATTGGGACAGGCTTCAGGGCTGCCAAATCAAATGGGAATGAGGTATATAGAGGAAAGTAGGATACAGGTGGGAAGAACAAGCCAAGAGATGAGAAATGAAGGAGCAAGAACACTGCAATATTTCTTATTCTCCAGATGTCCCAGAATCTGCTAGAGGTCTCCTTCTGTCTCAATGCTGGATAAAGGGTCTGTGAGTTGGGCAGCAGCTAGGGGTGCTGCAAACAGTGTGGGGTGGACAGACTCTGTTTCAGTGTGAGTGGTTATTCTAGGACTACCTCTTCTCAGCTTGGGTCCTTCCTTTCACTCAGAAGACACGGTGTTGTTTAGAGTTCTACACATCTAGTTTTTCATGACTGGTGCTATCAAGTCATACGAGGTTTGTGTGGTCATTGTCAGCACTCCACCTCATAGAAGAGGAAACCTTCTGTGGGGAGGCAGCTTTTTTCAGTCAAGCATCCAGTGAGTGGTGGAGCTGAGATGCAAATCTATAGTCGAAGGCCCTTCCTCTCTTTAAACGTTCCCATTTTGAAGAACAGCAGGGAAAAAGAATGGAGATGTGTCAGCAAGCAGGCAAAAGAAGCTGGTACCTATCATTTTAATCATTAAAGCCCTGGCAAGTATAGTTAATTATACCATTAGTTAAAATATTTAAAGCAGAAAGAAGAGGCATCAATAAAATATCAAAATCAAAGGGCACAGAAGGAAAGTCATTTTATGTCACCTATTAATCTGGGGTGACTCACCTCTCTCCCCTAAAATTCTGCCTAAAACTGTCTGTCTATTCAAAGGAAAGGCACAGAATTTCCAAAGCAGGTCTTGGGCTCCTGGGCTCATTGTTTTAAAATAACCCTGTAGCTCGTTTCATCACTATGGAGGCAAAAGAAAATATTCTAGTTCACAATTCTCCTTGCAGCTGGATGGCCACCAGAGCAGGAAGTTCCAGCAACTCACTGAAAGAAGGCTGATGGTTGGCAGTGGCTGACATTCTGGTATCTGCGCCAAGGCAGCACTCACGCTGCTGTCTTTGGGCCTAGGTGCCAAGGTCTGTCTCTCTCGTCTGAGAACATGTTGGATTACATGGCCAGTTAGTACTTTTTGCAAATCTGAAAGGCACTGTGAGATGGGTAGACAGGAATGACCCTCACTCTATGAAGGCTTTTGTAACTGACAGCCTTGGGGACAGATAAGGTGACAGCCAAATTGCAGTTAAATGCAAAGAGAGACATCTGAAGCTTGATGTTCAAAGCCTGTGAGTGCCAGGTTGTTGTCCAAGGGCTGCTTCATTCCCAGAACCCAGGGGGTTGTGCCAGGAAGAAATGGGCACAGGCTTAGTGTTCTTCAGTGGGGCCTAAGTGGGCACAGTGTATCATTTGGCAGGTCTGTCTTGTGTTTGGCATCCCTGGACGTGCCCACTAAAGGCCAGTAGAATCCCTAGTCATTGTGACAGACAACCCAAAACACCTACACACATTTCCAAATGCCTTGTGTGTGTAGTACCCACCTCCTTAGCTAAGAGCCACAGGCTGATTTGCCCCATGTCTATGTGGGGAATGAGAGAGCAAGTCTGGGAAACCTGGTAACTTTTCTCTTGAAGATCATCAAAGCTAGAATTGACTGATTATTTCATGTAGAGCAGTTCAGACCTGAAGCATAGCAATATGGACTCTTGAATTTACTTACTATTCTAAGATTCATTACAAAGTTTTAATTAATAATCAAATAATTTAAAATAATCCACTGAATCTGAAAGTCCAAACTCAATTTCAATCTCTTCAAGTTCTCTTCTAGTCCTTGTCTCCATGGATACAATCCATGAAGTACAATTTAAGGGCTTTGTTTTCCCCAGTTATTTCTCTATACCCCTCCTTTTGGTATTTTTAGGGTCCATGTTTCCTATCTCTATTTCTTCCAGAGTATCCCATTGGGTGAACAGTCACAGCCCATCACTCATCTTGAGATCCAGGACACACATGGGGGAATCTATTGGCCACTAGAGTCACAGTGTAGATTGTCAGAAAGTACCTTGGGCTTTAGAATGACAGCTCTGCAGTCAGAAGTTGCAGTTCTCATAATAAGCCAGGCCAGGTCTTCACTGAATTTTCTCTAAGTAAACTTATGATAAATATTGTGTTGTCACTGCATTTAATTCCTGTTGTGTCTTTCTGTCTGTTTGTTTTGCAGACATTTATGGTGTTGAATAAAAAGAGAACAATCTACCGCTTCAGTGCCAAGCGTGCCTTGTTTATTTTTGGGCCCTTCAATTCAGTCAGAAGTTTGGCCATTAGAATCTCAGTTCATTCATATCCTTTTATGTTGCACATTTTACTAAGTTCAGGTCATATGAAAAGTGCATGAACTTTAGGATTTCCATATGTTTACTGAGTGTTACATAGGCTCATTCTTGCCACAAATCTGGCTGAGTGCATATGACTGTGCGGCTGAGACTGTGCTGGGTGCTGAGCGTGGGCAAGGTGGGCCCCTGCTCTGAGATTCTGCAACCTCAGAAGATGGTAGACCAAAACACAGGTGATCTCTTTAGTGAGACTGGTAGTATGGAGAGGCACTGCTGTGCTTTAAAGGCATTAAGGAAGGCTTCTTTAGAGAAAGAGGTGCCTAAGTTGACACCCAAACAAGGGTGCACCTGGCAACCTGTGCACCATATTGAGATGATATATGTATTGTGTTGGGGCTACACAGTGTTTAAAAGGTTTTGGAAATACTTTCTAACCAGAATACCTCAGATTTCCAACTTCTCTTGAAAAATGGAACCTCTGCCAAGGCTAGACCCACATACCTACTTGGCAAAAATTGGCGTAGCGAAAACTTCTGCCTGTTCTAGAGAGGACATGTAAGCTCTGTTTCACTGTAACTGCCCCTTCTGTGACCCAACGTAAGTTCATTTCACCCATTTATATAGCTTGCCAAGCTCTTGACACTTAGAGTTTGCAACCTCAATCTTAAAGGGTAAAGACAGATGGGATTATTAAGCATTTCTGATGTGTGCCAGGGCTGGAGGAGACACCAGGCAGTTTTAGGTAGGGGGGAAGAGAAAAAGATATGGATGGGGAGACATAGTAAAATATTAAGGGAAATGGTAATGAATAACTATTTAGGTTGGGTTCCCTAGAAACAGAGCCTGAGATGGAAGTTCTTATTTAAGTGATTTAATAGAGGAGCTTTCTCTGGAGAAGGAGAAAGGGAAGCAGAATGGAGAAAAAGGAAGAGCCACACAAGCATGTGGTCTCAGCTGAGTCCGCATTAGCCTGACCGCACTAGGACCTCAGGAGCATAAATTGCACCACAGAATTGCCCAACTTTGAAGCAAAGGTCTGAGTCAGTCAGACATGTGGAAGGAGTTGTGTAGCTGTCCAGGTGAGGAGAATGCAGGGGAGGGGACAGTTGTGAGTTGTTCTCAGCCAGTACTCACGGTCAGAGGATATGATGTGTCCACACAAAAGGGGACTTAGAGGGGTACCCGCGGTCTTCACCACAGTAACTAATGGCATGAGCCATCCTACAGTGTATCTGCCTTAATGGATTCTGGCCACCTTGTTCAGCATGTTCATCATCTGCACCGTTATCATCAACTGTGTGTACATTGCTAGAGGGCGTGGTAAGGACAACCCCAGCACAGATACTGACAGTTCCGAGTAAGTGTTTTCCCTGCCCTCACCTGCCCTAAGTTTTTAAATAAATACACTTAGAATAATTATGTTTGCAATAAAGTGTATAGAGAGGAAGAAAAAGTCACCAATAATCCCAATACCCCAACAGAAATGCTGGCAGAGTCAGTTTTATTCTTGCACATTTTTTTTTTTTACAATTGTCTTTAAAGGCCTACATGTACAATTTTATATTTAGATTTTAAGTGTTTTTCTTTATGTTTGCATAGATTTTATAGGAATCCATTTGATGGAAGTATATTATTTTATCAGGTGAATAAACCATAATTTACTTAATCACTCTAGTATTTTAGTAGATTATAACATTATCACAAGCATCATTTTTGCATAAAATTACTTTTAAATTATTATTTTCTTGGGATAGGCTCTGAGAAATATGTTTCCTAGATCAGAAGGTACATCTATATATATATATATATATATATATAGAGAGAGAGAGAGAGAGAGAGAGAGAGAAATCATTTTCCAAAAGGTTTGTATCAATTTACTCTGCCATCAGCAGTGTGTATTCTAATAATCAGTTATAGCTCGTTCTTGCTAGCACTAAATTTTTTTCTTCTCTAATTCATGGAGTTTAAAATAATTACATTTCTTTAATTTCTAGATGAGCTAGACTTTAAAAATGTTTTAATTGATATATAATAATTATACTATTTCTTGGATATATGTGATATTTTGATACATGCATACAATGTGTTATGATCAAAGCAGGGTAATTAAGACATTTATCACCTCAAAAATTTACTTATTTATGTTGGAAACATCTCAAATCTTCTCTTCTAGCTATATTGAAATATACAATAATTATTGTTGACTGTAGTCACCCACTGTGCTATCAAACACTAGAACTTATTTTGTTTATCTAACTGTATTTTTGTACCTACTAAAGCAATTTCTCTTCATTCTCCCTCTCCCCCTTACCAGTCTCTGATAACCACCATTCTACTCTGTGTCTTCATGAGATGTAATTTTTAAGCTCCCATGTATGAAGAAGGACATGTGATATTTGGTTTACATTTTTTTGTTGTGTTCATTTGTGAATTGAAAATATCTTTACCCATTTGTTATTTTTATTTCTTTCCTGGTCATTTTAAATGAGTGTTTTGTATAATTAAAACATTAACTTTTTGTCATTTTAATAGGCTTTTCAGATATACAAATTAATTTTTAACTTATTTTAATAAATATATTCTTACATACAGTTCTAGTTTTTCTAGCTTAACATATTTACTGCTTTAATCTTTCAGGAATGTATTGGGTAACAAATCAAATAAATAAGAGATTCTTTATTTCTATCACATATTTAACTATGTGATAGAAACCATTCCAGGCAACCTCTAGACCATTTCAATTACCCTCAAATTTTCTTATACCTCTTTATAATCACCCCAAAAAGTTTTCTCAAACTTCCATACTCTGACACCCACTCAACTCCAAGCATGCATTGATCCACTTTCTGTCATTCTAGACTAGTTTTGCCTTTCCTAGAATTTTATACACATGGAACTGTGTGGTTTGTATAATACCATACTTTTGTGTCTGGTTTATTTTACTTAGTAGAATGTTTTGAGATATATCCATGTTGTATGTGTATCACTAGTTGTTTTCTTTCTTTTTTTTTTTTTTTTTACTGAGTTGTATTCTATTATATGGATATTCTACAATTTGTTTTCTTATTTATCTGTTGATGCACATTTGGGTTGTTTCAAGTTTGGGGCTATTATGAATAAAGTCATTATGAATATTTCTGTATAAAAGTCTTTTTGTGGATATATTTTTGCATTGCTCTTGGATAAATACCTAGGTGTGGAATTGCTGGATCCTTTGGTAAGCATATGTGTAGCTTTGTAAGAAATTGCCAAACTTTTCCAAATTGACTTCAATATTTTGCATTCCTACTAGGACTATATGAAAGTTTTGAAGTCTCTATTAATTTTTTAATTCAATTTACTTTGATTTTAATTTGCTCTTATATTTCTAGCTTCTTAAGGTAGAAGATTAAATAGTTGGTTTTAGATATTTCTTTTTATATATTATAAGAAACTATAAATTTCTGTCCAACCACTACTTTAGTCATATCCCAAAGATTTTATTTATTTATTTATTTTATTTAAACATTTTTTTGAGTTGGAATCTCACTCCATCGCCCAGGCTGGAGTGCAATGGCACGCTCACAGCCACCACAACCTCGACCTGCTGTGCTCCGGCAATCCTTCCACCTCAGCCTTCCAAGTAGCCAGAACTACAGGTGCGCACTACCACATCTGGCTAATTTTTGATTTATTATAGAAACGAGGTCTCACCAAGTTGCCTGGGCTGTTCTCAAACCTGGGGACTCAGGCAATCCACTCACCTCGGACTCCCAAAGTGCTGGGATGAAAGGTTAAGCCACCAAGCCCGGCCCCCAAAGATTGTAATACATTGTATTTTATTACTTTTCAGTTCAAAATAGTTTCTACTTTTCCTCTAATTTCTTCATCTCATGTGTTATTTAGAAGTGTGTTTTTAAATTTTTCAAATAATTCATATTTTTCAAGTTATTTTTTTGTTGTATGATTTCTGATTTAATTCAGTTATGGTCCGAAAATATACTCTGTATGATTTCAAGCTTTTGAGTTTCAAGAGAAACTTATTTTATTGTGCTTTAGAAAATGTTTTATTGAAAAGAATGTGGATTCTGCAATTGTTTGGCATGATATTCCATAAGTGGTCGGTTAGATTAAGGTGGTTGATTGTGTCATTTAGATCTTTTATACTTATACAGATTTTTACGTAGTGCATTCATAGATTACTGAGAGAGAGGTTTTAAATCTCCATCTATGATTATGGGCTGGGTATTCTTTCTTTTTATCAAATTTTGCTTTGTGTATTTTGAAGCACTTTTATTAGGCACTTATATACTTATAATTATTATACCTTCTGTTGTATTTATTCTATGATTGTTATGGAAGGTCTTTTTTTGTCTCTAGTAGTACTCATTTTAATGTTTGTTTTGTCTGATGTTCATATGGCCACTCCAGCTTTTTTATGCTCTTTGTTTGCATAGTATATCTTTCTTCATCCTTTTACTCTCAACCCTTTTGTGTCTTTGTATTTATATCACATTTTTAAAACAACTTAATTTTAAAGATGTGGGGTACAATTCAGGGTGAGATATACAAATGTTCATTTTGAGGTACCCTTGTTGATAAGGTGTGAGCACACCTCTTTTAAAGAGTTAAATAGGTGTTTTAAATAGTTAGGTGTTGCTTTTTATGGAGTCTATCACTCCATTCCCTGCCTTTTGATGGAATGTTTAGTACATTTACATTTAATACAGTAATATACTTGGATTTGGGCCTGTCATTTTTCTACTGATTGTCTATTTATCTCCTTTGGTTTTTGTGGTTGTTATTGCTTCTTTGCTGTTTTCAGAGTTGCAGCCATTTGTCAATGTTAGATGAGAGTGAGGGAGTTGGATAACACTCTCAGACCAAAAAAGTTAAGCGTTTTTATAATTCTTATGCATTACTTTTAACCTCTGCCAAGTTTCTACCTTCTTATGTTCACTTTCCAGGGCCTTCAGATAATTGTCCTTATATATTTTGTCCAGTTTAAAACTCATTATCTGTGGAAGTATTTACCCAACCATTTTACACTTTTATCACTCGAAGTAGGTGTCAATTGTCTCTTAATTTTACTTAAGTTGTTTTATTCTTTTCCTGTAGTAAAATTTTAAAAAACTTTTATTTTATGCCTGTGAATTTTTATTTATAGTTATAAATACTTGCTCTAGCCTTAAGTTATAAAATAATCTTTCCTTATTTTCTTTTTTTTTTTTTTTTGAGTTGGAGTCTCACTCCGTCGCCCACACTGGAATGCAGTGGCTGCTCCCGGCCACCGCAGCCTCAACCTGCTGGGCTCCAGCAATCCTTCTGCCTCAGCTTTCCAAGTAGCTGGAACTACAAGCGTGCACTACCATGTCCAGCTAATTTTTTTTGATTTATTGTAAAGATGAGGTCTTGCTAGTTGCCCAGGCGAGTCCCGAACCCTCGGGCTCAGGCAATCCACTCACCTCAGCCTCCCAAAGTACGGGATTACAGACTGAGCCATCAAGCCCAGCTCCCTTATTTTCTTATAGTGCTTTTATAGTTTCTTTTTATTTTTAATCAAATCTTTGATTAATTTGGAATTTATCCAAGTACAGGGTGTGATAAATAGATCCAACTTCATACCTCCATCCCAGATGTCTCCATTTGTACCAAAATCATTTATTAAATAGTCTATCTCTTGTCCTCTGATTTAAAAGATTACTTATATTTTTGAATCTATTTCTAGACTTTCTCTCCTGTTCCACTGGTCTGCATGTGCATATGCCAGAACCACACTCTGAAATTAGATTGTCTAATGTTTTGATGTCTGAGAGTGCTAGAGACCCCCATTTATAGCTTCTCCTTTTGAGAATTTTTATGGTTCCTGTTGGTTTATTTTTATGTAAATTTTATAATCAGTTTGGTTAGTTTTATTAAAATTTAAATTTAAATGTTCAGTAAGAAAATGTATAAATTAACCTAGGGGAAACTGACATCTCTATGAGGTTGGAACACACTGAGAACATGACATGTCTTTCATTTGTCAAAATTTTCTTTGTGTGTCCTTAAAAATTGCTTTAAAGTTTTCTTCATATAAATCTTTTACATTTCTTGTTAAATTTATGTTTGTAGATTTCACTCTTTTTGGCCATTATGTGTTTTTTAATTTTTTATGTCTTGTAATTAGTTGCTGTTGTTATATAAAACTATTGATATATAACACATTAGTATGATACATACTATATATACATAATTTTGTGCTATCTTTGATAAAATGTGTCTTCTCTCCCTTGATGACTTGAATGGCTTCTTATCTTTTCTATGTTTTAGAATGTTTTCTATAGGAGGAATGTGAGTCATTCTGAAGCAGTAATGGGGTGGGGGGAGATAATTATT